GTAACACCACATTACGTAACATCAGATTTGATGTAGAGCTTTGTTAACCATTATCTGAAATCTACTGCTCTGAGCATTTCAGTTTGAGTTATGACATCATCGTGTTCCATGACGCAGGTGTTTATATTTGAGCTAACAACGTGTCCAGAGATCAAAGGTTTCCATGGTGATGTGCATGGTGATCAATGAGAGAAGAGCATTTTCATTGTTCTGAATGAGAGATAAACCTCTTACATGTGAACGTTTTGTTGAAGAACCGTAACAGATATCGGTGACATTTCAAAACGTGAAGCATGTCAAGGAAGTTGAGTATCTGAAGTGTAATTTTTGTGTACTTTCGGGTCAATAATGTGGCATTTTTGGCAGATTAACTAAAGGTGTGCGGCTGCTGTGGTGGGGAAAGGTGAGGCTGAATTTACAATGGGTTTTAATGGAGACATGTTGAAAGTTTCTGTCACTTCATGCCCTCGAGAGGCATTTTGTTTAATTATTTGCTTAATGTTTTTTATCTTTCAAGCTACGAGATGTTTTCCTACATTTGTCATGAAGAATTATGTCTCAGGAATGTGGGGTTTGGGAATTATGGCAAAAATATGAAGGCAAAATAAAATCTGTCCTCCACTCTAGCTGTGACATCACGCACTCTAAAATCTGAAGAAGGCCTCTTTACCAAGGTCTGAACAATGTTTAATATTTCTAAAAGTAAGAATCAGATTTAAAAGTTGTGTTACATGAATAATGTCAGAAAGATGTGTAACATTCTAAAGTTGGATTGAGGTTTCTGAGTGAAAGTACGAATGAACAGTTAGCAGTTGAAGTCGCATGAAGGTTGTTGAAGTCTGAAGAATTTCTCCATTGACTTCAATGTTAAAAATGTGATGAATTATGGGATGTATCTCTGGAATTATGAAAGTTATGAATGATAAAAGTAATAGCCATCGATTCCCGACAGAGCTGAACGTTTTGATGCTTGAACGGAGTTCCTGCAATGTTTGTTTGTTTGTAGCCTTTATTTAACCAGGTGAAAGCCCCTTGAGATCAAAATATATATTTTTCAAGGGTGACCTGACGGACATTAGTTACACATGTAACATAAAAACAACAGAACAACAATAAGGATGACATACAACATAATGTATAGGGTACAGTTTACAAACTCTATTTACAGTGACAGGTACCATGAGTATTAAACAGCATGTCACCCAGCCGAGTTTTAAAATGATGCAGGGGAACCAAAGTGCTCATTTGATGTTCAATGCGGGAGGAGAAGGCCGGCAAAATAACGGGCGGAATAATAATAAAGAATTTTGTGCGTAGAAGAACAGATAAGTAAGTAAATAAATAAGTCACAAAAATAAAGTATAATAAAAGTATTACAAATAAATGTGCCAGCAATAATAAAGAGCTGTTTCAAGAAGATAGTGGAAGTTAATCAGTTGTGGTTAAATGTTAAACGCAGTAAATGTTAATGTAATCTTTTGTTGTTAGTTGTTCAAATGGGGATTTTCTTTTACCAGGAGCAGCGTCATCAAATCTGATGTCCGACAGTCCGGTTTTAGACAAGTTTAACTCCTCCAGTCTGCAAACAAACAAACAAACAAACAAACAGAAAACAATGTATTTTAAAGAGCTGCAGTCCAGTGTTGATGCTAAATAAAACAAGAGGAACACTTCGACACGTTTTAAGATCAACAAACAAACTAAGGACTAGAACATGTAACAGTAAGACACATGAGGCGTTTTCACTTCATCATACAGAATATCTAGGCAACTTATTGTGTTATATATATGTTTGTATATTAAACAGATCATGGTCTTGTGAGCGTGTTGTTGTTACTGCACCTGGGCAGAGCAGCGATACTCAGCACCGTGTTCTGCTCTAAAGGGTTTGAGGAGACGTTGAGATTCTTCAGGGACTGCAGCACTCCTTCAGGCCTTCACATCAGATACAAGAGACACACTTTATGAATCCACAATAGACTGTTAGCGTTAGCAGCAGCAGAGAGTGGAAATGAACAAGTAACACACACGAGTTAAACATATAATAATATAGAACAAAACAAAAGATCAACAGTAAATACATACATATAGACCAGGCGTGTCAAACTCAATTTCATCACGGGCCATGTAGGAATTATGGTTGCACTCAAAGGGCCGGTTGTAACTTCAAGACTATATCAAAATACATATATAAAATAATGCATTATATTACATGATTGCCTCTGCATTGGATTATTATCTGATAGGGTAATATCTTCATAATTAACAACGTCTGAAAGCAGAAGTGTAAGACAAGTAATTGCAAGTCTCTTCAGTGAGAATGTCAAAAAAATGACTTAAAAATAAAATCCAAATTCTGGAAAAGAAAGTAAAAAAACATTGACATTTTGAAAAAAAAGTGACATTTTTGGGGAAAAGTGACATTTTGAAGAAGAAAGGCATATTTTGAAGAAAAAAAGTCAAATTTGAGATGCATTGTGGGACATGTAGTTTATGGGCAACGTGCTTCTGTAAATCGCCATATAACCGTATAATAAACATATTATATTCTTTCAGAGTTCTTGTGGGGCCACAGAAAATGAAGCCACGGGCCGGATTTGGCCCCCGGGCCTTGAGTTTGACACCCCTGATATAGACGAATATTTAAATATATATATGACTGATATATATAAGACGGCTAAACTCCTGAGCTTGCACTATTTTAATTTGTTTGACGTTAGATAAGATGAGATGTACTTTATTGATCCCAATTGGGGAAATGTTTGCGTCGCAGCAGCATAAAAGACAAGGCAATGCACATAAGAAGAAATGAAAAGAGTAGAAGTAAACTATTCTAAAATGTAAACATCTCAAAATATTTTAAAAAACAGCGTTAAGAGTAGAAATATACAAGTTGAAATACCAATTTATAGTAGACACAATAAAGCAGGATATTATATATATTAAGTCGGTAAGGATGTGTTTATATTTGTATTGTTAAGGAACATGTGACCTGAGTTTTTCATTTACACACTGTAGCTGTGTAAATGACATTAAAGAATCTTTGAAACCATCTTTTTCCTAAAGAATACACAATATAAAAATACTGAATACATTAGAATACTCTCCAATAGACAAATCTAATACAAAAGACACAAACAGGAGTAGAGGGAATACAGAGACACTGAAGTTCAGCGTTACCTCCGCAGCTCTGTGATGTTGTTTTCTTCTAAGGACAGAACCTCCAGCTGCGGCCACATGGGGGCGCACTCCAGGATCTGATCACAGACCAGCAGAGAGACAGAGTTCGATCAATACAAATCACAGAAATAAAATCTGAATTATTTATTAAAGACACACTTTGGTTTCAACTCGTTTGGTTTGGACGGAAGGTTTGTGACATTTCTTGACTTTTATGTGAAATGTTTGACAATAAAATAAAAAATACATATACTTTTGAAAAGGTTTTTGTAATATGTGGTGGAAGGTAGGACGATTGATAAATAATAAATACATCTTTTAGTAAATAAATGCAAATTATACAGAAATATATGTTTTCCGTACAAATGCATTTTATTTTTCTGAATACTTGATATTTAAATAGTACATAATTACAACTTTAATGTACTCCAAATAAATACATACATATATAAAAACAAACTAATACAAATATCAATAAATACGTGTTTCTAGATCAATCTTATATAGATGTATACAAATATAATTACATGTCAGTATTGGCAAATAATTAAAAATATATAATAATAAATACTACATATATAAAAAATAGTTATAGAAATATATAGGTGATTTATTTTAATTGAGGTATTTTTTAATTTAAATGTTCTATTAAATAAAAGCTTAATAAACGGTATTCAATGCGTACACAATAGAATATGTATCAATACTATTTTCTTTAAACATTTATCTTTTGATCTAATGTTTTATTTGTTTTGTTCTTTAATATATACAAGACCAAAAGCGTACTTTTAATGATTATTTTTTATTATATTAACAGAGGATTTATAAAGTGGCCCACAGAGAGCTGTTCTGAACAGAAGGCGTACCTGAGTCCAGGTGAGGTCGCAGTTGTTGAGCGCGAGGGTTCGGAGGCTGCAGAACGACCGGCAGAGAGGCGAGACTTCAGAGGGGACACGCAGACGGTTGTTGCTGAAACATGAAACAAGATTCAGTGGAC